CTAACAACATTATTTATTTATTTATTTATTTATTATGTCATTAGTTTGTGAGATAGAAAATACAATATTACTCATGTTAAAATGGAGAGTAAAATATTTCGGCAAGAATTGAACGGAAAATGCACCAAAAGGACCAAATTTGCTAAGAAAGTCATAGTCGTGGACCATTTCTACAAGTTTTAAAAGTCATGAATCAAAGTTATTAGTGACACCATAGTTGTGGGACCAAAAGTGCAAAAAACTCTCCTCCAATATATAATGTCTATATATTATTACTATTGAAGAAGATAATAAAATTGATGGTGGATGCATGTGCATGACAATAATATTTGGAAAAGATAAATGGAAGTTATAACTATAGGATATTTTTGACCATAATATTGTATAGTACAACTCTGCATAAATGAATGTTATAACTTTCATTCACACTTATTAGTTTTTAGTGTAGATAATTATAAAATCATATATAATAAGAGAAAGTTTAATTAGAGCCCCAATTAAATATCTAACCACACATGATTTTTAGTGCTCAATCTACATTGCCTACAACCCAGAAACAAACAATAAAAAGTGCAATCTAGCACAAAACTTGTCAACAATTAATCAACTGTGACACCATAGTTGTGGGACCAAAAGTGCAAAAAACTCTCCTCCAATATATAATGTCTATATATTATTACTATTGAAGAAGATAATAAAATTGATGGTGGGTACATGTGCATGACAACAATAGTTGAAAAAGATAAATGGAAGTTATAACTGTAGGATATTTTTTACCATAATATTGTATAGTACAACTCTGCATAAATGAATGTTATAACTTTCATTCACACTTATTAGTTTTTAGAGTAGATAATCATAAAATCATATATAATAAGAGAAAGTTTAATTAGAGCCCCAATTAAATATCTAGCCACACATGATTTTTTAGTGCTCGATCTACATTGCCTACAACCCAAAAACAAACAATAAAAAGTGCAATCTAGCACAAAACTTGTCAACAATTAATCAACTGTAACACCCCCAATTTTTAAGCATAAAACAAGGCAAATTAAAGCTTAAGTATAAAGATAAATCTAATCATTAGCATAAGAAGTCAAGGAAGCTAAACAGTTAACCGGGGAATGTTATGCCACATCTAAGCTACATACTTAAATGCACAGGCCAAAACATCTATCCAATTCAAACATTAAAGTACTCAGGGTCTAAACAGTCTCGGCTCACAGGCCAAACCAACAAAGCCAAGGGCGGGAAGGCTTGTCTAACAACGTCTCCATCTAGCGCACTCAAGGAAGAACTACTTTGTACCTGTAAAACATTAAGGGGTAGCACCCGTTAGCGAATAATGCTAAGTAACCCACTACTACGCGTTGAGTACAATATAGTATAGTTATAAGGGAAAAATCATTTGAGACTTGGAATACATAGATATAGTCTTAGCAACACTAGCTTTAAAACAAGAGATAGAGACATCATTTGACTCACCAAGAGATTCACTCAACCATACCGACCAACAACAGTTAAGTAATGGAATCAATACAAGAATACAGTGATACGGATTCAACGATAATCAACGGTAAGGTAATCAAACACCAATCAAGAGATCACATGAAGATATGCTCATAAGTAAAGAGTTACAAGAATCATAATTAATCCATTCTCGACAAGGTTCCAAGTCCACGCAGGACATAGCCAACCAAGTCATTCACCGTGGAGTAATCGCAACGACCTGAATCATAGTGGATCAGTGTGGAGGGCTCCAAATCGTCAATCACATACCATGGAGTCATCGCAACGACTCGGACCGTAGCCCAATGGAAACAGATCTAGCAACTTTAAGTGTATACACCCCCTATTGGGATTCCAAGCCCAACGAGTTAGCTACTTTCTCTAGAAACTGTAATAAGTTTCCCAAGTTGCCCACAAATCATAAGTATCCAAACGGCAACCCGGAGCTTTAAACCCACTACCGGATCAGTTCACAATGGTTGATTGGGGCTTTCCAACCCACCGACCTGTCAAGGGCTTCCCACACTAACATGACCCATTGCAAACAGTGCCAGAGGCTCGCCACACACATATCAGCATCACATAAGTCCTCACACTATCCACTGTTCCACCATATCAATCCAACATTTCATCAAGAGTCGATACATACGGAATCTAGAGATACAACAAATCATAGATTCCACATGAAGTGTGCACAACAACGGATAAGCTCAACAATAGCTTAATCAAGGAATAATCATGATAAGGTACAACATTTGTACAAGCTCATAATCATAGGTTCAATCGAAGGAAATTAAGAAAGAACATGAAGGAGACATTTCAACGTATTCCACAATAATGAAAGACTTCAACTCAAGAGACCACAATGATTGGTAGACACAAGTCACCAATCCTCATCAAGAATAGACATGATCAATACGAGGTAAACACATACTAGTACCAACAAATCAACGTAGCTAGCATGCAATTCAATCAAGACAATCAATAAGGCTCATACGAACAACATATACTTCATATCAATCCAACGAATCACAAGGTTGGATCATAAACACGATTCAAGACTCACAAGTCCTACTACGGTACTTAAGACATCGTTCTAGACTTACGAAACATCAATCAAGACACTCAAGTACACGAGGATCGATCAAATGGAGACCAACAAACATCACACCATCCCGTACCAGCGGGTGGTACCGCGGGTGGTGAACCACCCGCCAGGTACCCGCTCAATATAATACCTGTACCAGTGGGTGGTGAACTACCCGCCAGGTACCCATTGGTACGCCAGAACAACGAGAAAATTCCATTCGGAGAAAAATTGCCAAATGCTCAAGTTCAAGTCCAAAACTCATACTCATTAACAAAGGAACTTGAACACATAGATTAGCTCAAAGAATAGCATTTATGAACCCTAAATACGAGCTCTAACATGCATAAACACAAGAATATGCACAATTTCACTCAAGAACATCGAGAAATCATCACAGCAAGTATAAAATATGTTTTGTAGGACATGAGTTACCTCTTGTAGCCTAAACAACACTTCCTCAATCACCTAAGCTTCTCCTTGAAGGTCTTCTTCCACAAGATCTTCCAAACACAAACCAAAACCCCAACAAAAACACAAATCTTAGATAAAGATGATGGAAATCTAAGTAGTAACACTAATAAAGCCTAGGACTTACCCTTCTTAAGGTTGTAGAGGTGGAAAGGTGGAATCTTGGAGGTTTTCCTTTGCAAGGTTGGGAGGGTTTTAGGTTAGCTTGAAGAGGAAGCTAAAGTGTAGAGAGAAGGGTGGATAGATGGAAAATCCTGAAATGACTTGGAGTGTCTTGGCTATGATAGGGTTTTAAGGGTAGAAATGGTGAAAAGACCAAAAGGGCCCCTTCTTCCCAAAAACAAGTTAGGAGAAAAACAAAGTCTAGACTACAAGGAATAAAGCATAAGGTGTACCCATTGACCAAATTAAAAAGAGTAAGTGATTTGGTCAAACTAAGTCCCTTAACTAATTTCAAAGGGGAATTAAGAAAATAATTGTAAGGCCACAAGGAATTAATTAAGAAATTAATTCAGGTTTAAGGACTGAATTTATGGGGTGTCACATCAACTATACGCTATAGCACATGTCAAGAAGCAAAAGCATGCCAAAAAATTACTTATTAATTATTGTACTGCACAAGGATCCTCATTTGACAAAAGCACTAGCTTGCAAAGAAACTCAACTGTGGTTGAAGGATTGTGGATATATTATTTAAAGTAATTTTGGAAATAGATTGTCTAAATGTCAATCAAAGTTTAAATCATAGCTTGATGCTTCTTACATTGGAATTGTTTTTAAAGAGTGTGAGTGTTTGCTTCAAAATTTTGTTAGTATTTGTGTTTGTTTTGCTAAAAACAACAACAAACCATTTAGTTCACTATTTAGCAAATGCTATAGACTTTTAGTTTAGTTTGGTTGTGTGGGTTGATATTCCCTCACCCTGTATTTTTTGTCTTACTTTTAGTTCATTAATAATTAATAATATTGTCTGAATTTACATTTAAAAAAAAAATCTTTAAATGAGAGGATGTCACTTTTTGTCATTGAATGATAAGAAAATATTAAGTGGTGATGGTATAATTGAGAGTTGTTTTTTTTTTTTTTTTTTTTTTTTTTTTTTTTTTTTTTTTTTTAATTTGAAAAGATCAGTACCATTTCATTCACGTAACATGAATATATTGAAATACCATATTAAATATTAGAGAAGTTGGATGCATATGGGTGATAAAAGACAATAGAGTTGACTGGAAAAGGAGTTTCACGTTCAAATTGAACTTAAACCATGTTGATGAGGCAAAAGGAAATGAGCTTGAGTGGACATGGAACAAAGGTATTCGTAAGCTTAATGTCCAATGCAACTTGGAGAATGTGATTAAATGGTTAGGAGGGGCCAATATACCATTGAGATCACTAAGGAGAGTCATCGAGAGTTGCAACGAATAGATTAACAGAGTTTGGGAGGTTTCAATCATATATATTTACAGGGAACAAAGTTACATCGACAGACATGCTAAAATAGCGCCTCGCCAAGCCAGGGATTAGTTATACATGTATACATTTTAGAGTCATTTACCATACTTATCCATTATTGCATTTTTGTCTAAAAGAAACAGTTTACAATAATTAAAGCTGTAATTATCCTCCCAAGAATGGGATAAGGTGAGGGGACTTAAGGGGCAAGATTTGACAACCAACTGCATCACTAACCTTGCTGCTGTGCTGTTTAAATCCCAAGTTCTTTATTTTTGATTAAAAAAGAAAAGCGGAAGAAATTTCAAGAAAAAAATAATAATTATAAACAGTATAATTAGTGGCTGTAAAAAGAAGGAATTATTTTTTATTCCGAAGGGAACCAATACGCTGCCGGAGATATTTTTCCATTTCAGGCAAGTCCCATAAATCTCTCTCTCTCTCTATATATTTTTTTCTTTATTTGTTTTTTTAAACGTTACAGTAAAAATGAAAAAAATAGAAGGAAGATACTCAACTCTTTCTTAGGGCTTTTCTTTTCTCCTTTTCTTTTTCTTTTTCTATGGCTCTCAAAATTCCGATTTTTTTGTTCTCAATCCTCTGCTCCGTCTCCCTCGATTCTTCCCTCCGGTAAGTTCATTGCTCTTTCACCTTCCAATTTCCTTTTGCGTTTCCTGAATTTGAACTGTTCTGGACTTGCGCATATACCTTTGATTTTTTTTTTTTTTAAATTGGGAAATTGGAATGAAAATATGATTTATTTATTTTTTATTTTTTTAATGTTGATAAGTTGTTCCATTAGCTTTCTCTTCAGTTACTAGGATGTTTAACACTTGCGGTTGTGTTTTCATCTTCGTTGGGGCGAGGGAGGGGGTGAGAAATGTTTGGAGGTAAAGGTAGAAAGAATGGGAATTAGATGCTGCATAGTTTGGTTGCGAGATATAAATTTAAGCAAATGATTCTTTTTGTTTATCCGTCCAAGAAAATACTGTAAGAGAAAGTAAACTGCTTTTGTTTTCTGCAGCTGGGGAAAGGGGGTAAAAAGCATGTAATTGTAGCTGGAATGGTGAAGATGATGTGATAAACCTACCTATTTGGGGCATGCTGAATTTACAGAAACTGATTGTAGATTCATTAAAATGAAAGAGATATACTTATGCATTTGGATTCTACTCCTACCTCTCTCTCTCTCTCTCTCTCTCACACACACACACACACACACACACATAAGTCATGACACACAGAATTCATGCATTTTCACACCCTGTATAATTTTGGCACAACTTCAGTTGATCAAAGGTTAATATGGATCACGTATAAGCCAAATAGGGTTGCACCCCATTAATACTCTTTAATATATTGATATTTGACTCACCAAAGGCATGTAAAACGTGCAAAATAGTGCATTGACTGAGAGATTGAATGCCAAGTTTAGTACAGATTCTGATTCATTATATCCGCATGGACACACTTAATGGATACTATATATGGAGTAGAATGGGATTCTCATATTCAAATGCTAACATATATGAAGGCTTGTAGTTTAGGAGTCTAATCCTGAGAACTCAAGGGCTTTGGTTCTGGTTTGCTAAATACTATTTTAATCCAATTAGTGACCTAGGCGCTCTGATTTATTAATGAAATATTGATTTGCAGTGCCAAGCCAACACGTGATTGAATAAGAAAAAATTGGATGATATGGATGAAAGTGTGGGTGATGAGGTGAATGAAATGGCTGTTGTTGATGGAGCGCTCCTCAGAAGTAAGGAGAGTGGATACAGTTTGAAGCTTAGTGAGCATGGTATTCAGGAATCACATGAAGTGGTTGGTCTGGATGAGGGTGATCATCATGAGAACCCTGCCCAGTACTTCATAGATATTCTTGATGGAAAGAGTATGGGCAGAATTGGATCTTCAGGACATGCAAGTTCAAGTCCACGTTGTATGGATGATTCTGAGGTTATGGTTAGAGAGTTGACATTGAAAAATTATAATGGTGAAAATTTAGCTATGATTGGTGCGCCAGGCAACAGAGAACGAGTGCAAACTAGGCCCAATCACTGGAAAACTTTATATCAAGTAGCCGGTGGATCAGGAAAAGGAAGTTTACATAGAGAAGCCACTGATAAAGACCAGTCTTCCACATTATCAAATCTCTTTGAAGGTGAAGAAGACAGAATGTTCACTGAATTTTTGGAGCAGAATCAGAAGTCAACAAATGAAAGCCATAATTTAGTCACAGGAAATTCACAGAGTAAGGACAACAAATCTGTTTCGAATGACATATTACTGGCTTCTGGGGGTATACGAACAAAAATCTTATCAAAGTCTGGGTTTTCTGAGTATTTTATAAAGAGCACATTGAAGGGAAAGGGAACCATACAAAGAGGCCCAACTACCAGAGCGTTGGGAAGGGAGTACCTTGACCATCCTCACTCGGATCGTGCTAACATCTCTTTAGTAGATTCTTCAGGTGCAGATAGTGTTTTGCCCCCTTCCATTACTTATCAGGATGGAGTCAGTTTGAGGGAATGGGTAAAAGCTAGGAGAAATAAGCTAAGTAAAGCTGAAAGCTTGAGTATCTTCAAACAAATTGTGGATCTGGTGGATTCTTCTCATTCTCAGGGAATTATTTTACAAGACTTGTGGCCATCTTGCTTCAAGTTGTTGCAATCAAACCAAGTTGTGTATCTGGGAACCTCCATGCTCACTGATCCCACTGAGAATGTCATGGATAGAGATGTTCCTGAACTAGAGCAGAATTATTCGAAAAGGTCACTGGGGAACATCATGCATACCTCAGTAAGTCCTAGTGTTAAGAAGCTTAAACTTGGTGATCCTGTAAATATTACTACAAGATGGCCTCAATTCCCATCCAGATCAGGTATCAGATCAGCACCTCAAAATACTAATGCAGATTTTGCTTGGCCACGAGGTTCTGGCAGTGACTCAAATGAAGTACACAAACATAATAGTCAGAGCAAATTTAGCTCCAGTGAGTTTTCCAGAAGCCCACAACCATTACAGACTTCTGTGAGTTGTATGTTAGAAGCAAAGTGGTACACCAGTCCTGAGCAGTTAAACAAGGGAGGCTGCACATTTTCTTCAAATATATACTGTCTTGGAGTTCTATTTTTTGAGGTATGGGGACATCTTTAATCTTTTATCTAAACACATTTTACTTTGTGTTTCTCTTATTATGAAAAGCATTTTACTTGTATAAACCGCATTTTATGCCGAGTAGATGAGAAATATAGAAGAACATGATTCCAACATAATTTTAAACCTGATCAAAAGTCAATCGTATTTGAAATGTAGGATACTTCTTAATAGGATCTTAAGCAGTGGATAATCTTCCTCTCAGAACTCTGTAACCATATTTATTTATTTTTAAACCTTGGACTGAATGTTGAGGAGTATTTCATAGAAGTATTGTAGGAATTAAATTGAGGCCAATTAAAGTATATAGTAGGTTAGGGAGTTATGCTCTAGTATTTGGTAATGGCCAAAGTCAACTGGATAATGATGGGGCTAACCTGTGATGCTTATTTCAGTTACTTGGCTTATTTGAGTCCGGAAGATCTCATGCTGCTGCAATGCAAGATCTCTGTCATAGAATTCTTCCTCCCAGTTTCCTATCCGAAAATCCAAAGGAAGCTGGATTCTGCCTTTGGTTACTTCACCCAGAACCCTCATCACGACCAACTACAAGGTAATATTTGTCATGTGGAGTGATATATATATATATATATATATATATATATATATATATATATATATATATATATATTAGAAGAAGAAAAATAACATGGATGCAAGTTTCCATTCTCTTCTGGCTTTCTGTGTCTTTCCCATCTGTTGTTGATTGAATTGATGTGGTGAAATGAGTTGGGATTTAATCGACTATGGAAACTTCATTTGTTGGGCTTTTCTAGTGATCCAATTAGAGACAGACATGGTAGCCCCCTCTGACAATTAGTTAAAAAGGGTTCAAAACTAGAGAATCATTGGGGTATGCTCTCTCAGTCTCAGCAGAGTTGGAGCTCTCTTTAGGGAAAGGGGGGATTATAAAAAACTTTTAGGGAAAAAATCGAAATTTGGAAACCTTTGTGAGGATGGGACAATTTCAGCAAAACAAATGCCTCTATATTGAGTTTGGGCCATCCGCCATCTTGAGGCTGCTAATACTTTTTTTCCTCCATCTTTTGAAATTCAAATATAAGTTTGCATGTGTTATGGTTGGGTGTAAATTTATTCCGCTGTTTTACAAGTTTTAAGTGGAATGGTGAAGACACAAATCACACAATATCGTCTAAATCAGAAATATGATAGTGTTGTGGAACTTAGCTCTTCAGAGGTAAGGATTAGTGGAAGCTAAAATTATCTCATGTCAGAGGGGCCTCATTATTCAATGAACACCATCTTTATGTCACATTAGGGAAGGAGGGCAGTTCAGCTCTTTGTGTGTGCAACCATGCATTCATAAATTGGTTGGTTGCTAATGCTTATAAAGCAAAAAAGTAATATGGCCTACAGCCTACTTATACTCTTTATGATGTATTCAGCTGGAAGGATGTGAAAGTTGGAGGATGGAAAATCTAATGCTTTAGTATTCCACTCTTTTAAGGAGGCAAATTCCATATTTGGTTTGGGGAATGGAAAATAGAACTTCCTTTTTCAGTTTGGCAAGGGTGATTTGTAAGAAGTGAATTTTGAAATGTTAGTAAAATTCCTTTGCCTTTTGCTGCATACTATGTGTTCTATACCATTTGAAGAAAATTGGAGGACACTTTCACAATGGAATGAAATTTGATGAGATTAGCTAATAAAGTAGACTACATAGTCTGTCCCTTTTATACACATCTTTTATTTATAAACGTGTTGTTACTGGGCTGACTGTTTACGTTGGTATTATTTACTTCCAAGAGGATACCTTGTATTAGTAAAATTTTCTCATCTGCAGAAAAGCAAAAAGGAACTGCAATTGGCCTTCCTGAAATACATGGACTTGTCACTTACCAAGACTTTATACTTAGGAAACTTTGTTCTAGCTTTTAGCTATACTTCAAATAGTCTTGTATAACTCTGAACATGCTATGAAGTATATAACGTTACTATTCTATTGCTGCATCCAATATGTATGATGTGTCTAACATTTAAGTTTTCTAGCTTAAATATGACGTATAGGTTACTATTACAGGGAAATTCTACAATCTGAAATTATGGGTGGGAAAAAAGAATCTGGAGATGAGATGCTATCATCTATTATTGAAGAGGATTCTGAGTCAGAATTGTTGGCGTACTTCTTTTCATCATTGAAAGAGCAAAAACAAAATGATGCCTCAAAGTTAGTTGAAGAAATTAAGTGCATAGAAGCAGATATCCAGGAAGTCCAGAAAAGGCAGACCAAACAATTATCAGTTTCTTCCACCTCATGTCATGAGTCCCTTGCTGTGTGCAGAAGCAGGTACTTTCAGATAGGGGGATCAAGCTCAACTACATGTTCTAAGTTGTCCCCTGTATACGAGGATGATAAGAAGTTGAAGAATATCCAGCAGCTGGAGAGTGCTTACTTCTCTATGAGGTCTAATATTAGGCCTTCCAGTAATGATGTAAAAATATGGAGAAACGGAGAAATATTAAAGAATCGGGAAGGCAACTTTCTGAAAGGTGTTAATGAAGAGATGCATGAACGTAGTGATTGTCTCGGAGGTTTTTTTGATGGTCTCTGCAAGTATGCTCGCTATAGCAAGTTCAGAGTACGTGGAGTATTAAGGAATGGAGAATTTAATAATTCTGCAAATGTAATTTGCTCTTTGAGCTTTGATCGGGATGAGGAATACATAGCTGCTGGTGGTGTGTCAAAGAAAATAAAGATATATGAATACAATGCTCTCTTTAATGATTCTGTTGACATTCATTATCCAGTACTTGAGATGTCAAACAGTTCAAAGCTCAGCTGCATTTGCTGGAACAGCTATATCAGAAACTATCTGGCCACTACTGACTATGATGGTGTGGTGAAGGTGTGTATTTGTGCATTGATCTATTGTTTCTTATAAAATTTCATTATCCTACTTGGACAAGTCTCGATTCTCCAAATTTAGTTTTTGTGATGTCTCCTTTAATATTTAACATTCCACGAAATGTTCCATCTCCATGTTTTTGAAGCATATTGCATAGCTTACTCTTTAAAGAATATATCCACATTTCATTGGATAAGCATGTATCTTATCCCTCATTCTTTGTTGGGAACAGCTCACTCTCTCTTTCTCTGAGAAGTGAGAATATATCTAATCCATTATCATAGTGAATTAGGCATTATTCATTTTTGTTTAACTACTTGTTTTTGGCATATTATAATCAATTGCTCTACTAAAGATGACATATGATAATTAATATAGTTCATGCTTATAAAACTATAGGTCATAATTTGCTAGATGCTGGGAAACAAGCTTTACGCCGTGTTTGGATGAGTTTTTGGCTTATCTACTGCTAGAAGCACTTATGCTGATTTTTAATGTGTTTGGTTAGGTGTTGAAAAAACTTAAGGCTTTTGAAAGCCATTTTAAGCTTATTTCCATAAGTTTATTTCAAGGAGTTTATAGTGTAAGCTCAAAATCAGCTTTTAAAGGCCAACTGCAATTGCAAACTCATGAACTATTTTGAGCTTATTGAAAAGTGCTTATTTTGAACTCTTTATTCAAATTGGGCAATAAGCATATTTTTATATTGTAGTGGCAAGCATGCAGATTGTAACCATCTTTATTTATAATGTAATGCTTCTTTTTTCCTTCCGCAAGTGTTTGCTATTGCTGGACATGAAGTTCCTGATTCTACAGCTTCAGTGATTTTTGATTGATTTTATTGTGATTTGTTAACTTTCAGTTATGGGATGCAACAACTGGTCAAGGGTTTTTCAATTTCAGTGAGCACAATGAAAGAGCTTGGTCTGTTGATTTTTCTCGTGTGGATCCTACCACGTTAGCCAGTGGAAGTGATGATCGTCTGGTGAAACTTTGGAGTATTAATGAGGCATGCTTTCTCATTTTTATTTTTTCCTTATATATATATATATATATATATATATATATATATATATATTGTTTTTGTCCTACCAGCATCATTGAACCATGCCATTGAGAGCTATGCCCCTAACCAAGACTGAAAACAAAAGTGAAAAGGGGAAAATAATGAGAGTGTCTACTGTAACATAAGGCTGTAAATTCCAATTTAAAATTATAATTGGTCTTTAGTTAGATTATCAAATCATTTCATGGATGATAACTATGTAATCTTTGCTCAGTTATTTGTGTCTATCTGTAATTTACAGAGTATCTTTTTCCTTCATGAGCTTATATTATGTATATGAAATTCTTCTCCCCTCAAAGACAAAAAATAGAGCCATTATTCTTTTTACTAATAAGATGCAAAATGCATTTCTACCTTGCCGCTTAGGTTGTGTGGCAAAGCATGCAAGTTGTCATTAAATAAAAATTTAGTTGAAAAAGTGCATATCATAACCATGTAATCTATATAGTTGGTAGAATAGGGGAATTGGTAGAATAAGAATTGCCTGAAGTAAAAGATATACATTGCCTCATTTCTATGTTGTTTTCTCTGGTTTCAAAGCCATGAAATCTTTCAAATTTTGGCATGTTGTTCAAACTGGCTTCTTCATTGTTGCAGAAAAACAGTATATGCACGATCAGAAACAATGCAAATGTCTGCTGTGTCCAGTTCTCACCTTACTCCAGATATTTACTGTCTTATAGCTCTGCTGACTACAGGACTTATTGCTATGATCTTCGAAATGTTTCAACTCCCTTGCGTATATTGGTTGGCCATGAGAAAGCTGTTAGCTATGCAAAATTCTTGGATGCTGAGACTCTAATTTCAGCATCTACAGACAACACACTTAAGATCTGGGATCTCACCAAAGCAAGTACAAGTGTCTTGTCAACTGATTCTTGTATCTTAACCCTTAGAGGACATACCAATGAAAAGGTTAGTTGCTTTGTATGACCTGTCTTCACATTCCATGACAACAATTATAAACTTTTCATTAAGTACATAACGATTTGAATATCTTAGTTGCTTTGTCTGACCTGTCTTCACATCCTATGCCAACAGTTAGAAACCTTTCATAGTTTCATTATGTACGTAACAATTGAATATCCTGTTCACTGGATGTAATCATTATGTGGTTTCTTTTGTTTTTCAGAATTTTGTGGGGTTATCTGTAGCTGATGGATACATTACTTGTGGCTCTGAGACAAATGAGGTGCGGATTATTTTTTGTTTAGACCTTCTATCTTATTTATTCCCCATATATGCAAATACTAATTTAACAAAAATACTGATTCCCTTTCATTATCTTTTACTTAATTCAGTTTTTGGGGGTGAGTGTTTTGATAAGCAGGTCTATAGATGCTGACATGCTGTTTGTACTTTTTTTAGAGAAGAAAATAAATAAAAAGGAATTGCATATTCTTCCACTGCACTTTTCTTTCTCTTGCAAATGGTAGAGGTGTATCTGTACTAGTGGAGTCCATTGAGGAATATAGCATATCTATGTGATAGCATTGGTTTTTGCTTTATTTTCCTAAATGATCCCAAAAATTCATGCAGATATCAACACATTGGGCTCAAGTAGTTAGTTCAGTTGAACCAAAAGAATACTTCATAATAAACTGGCCAATGACAAAAAATTCCAATTCCTTGGGATAGGAATAATGTGGGAATAAAGTTGGAATTCAAATTCTATTGTTTGGCTAGTGGGAATAGAATTATTAGGAATTTCTATTCTAATGTTTGGTTTACGTGGGAATTGAAAGGGAATAAGTAGTATAAAGACCAAAATGCCCATTAAATTGCAATTCCTAGGTGGAGGATATAGGATTATTATGGAGGGTTAATTTGGGCCTCGCAATTCAACTTTTCTTCTCATGCATATTATTTTTACAGGTCTTTGCTTATTACAAATCTCAGCCAATGCCTATTACTTCTTACAAGTTTGGCTCCATTGATCCGATCTCCGGCAAAGAAACTGATGAGGATGTTGGACAGTTTGTTTCAAGCGTCTGCTGGAGACGTAAATCAAATACGGTCGTTGCTGCCAATTCCACCGGCTGTATAAAACTACTAGAGATGGTGTAGGATTGGATAGAAAAGAATGTCAGTATTAAGTTGTTCCTGGCAGCATAAAGTAAATCTCAGGAAAAGATCTGTAAGATCTCTTACACCCTAAGGGATCCATGCAAATAGACTAGGAGAGTCAGTCTGAGTGGCTTTTGGGTCTCTTTCTTTTCCAACTGTTTCTCAAATGAGGCGCCGAACATCCAGTCCAAAGTGAAACTGAAAGGGCAATGGCCCCGCCCCGAAATGATTCTAAAACCCGGATTCATCTCTCCAGAAGATGCAATTCAACAGAAGCCGATAAACTAGGGAGCACAAAAGGCCGATTTTTCGACAAATAGTTGGATTGTTGAGATGTATGGGTAGGGAGCAGAAGTTGTAATATCTTTGATGTTATAATCTTAGGCACACACTGTACATGGAATGGGACTGGTGGAAAGTGTTTTGCCAGTAAGCCCAGTGGCAGTATATGATACTGAGCGTGTAAATGTGATAGATAAAAAGATAAATAGACGGGCCTATGTGAGACTGTCACCTATGGACTAGTTGTACAATATCTATACATTTTTTGGCATCAAAACTTTGATGGGTATAGAAGAAATTGGTGTACATTCACTGTAAAAATGTATTGCAACTACGTAAAAACTTCAAACGTCTTCCTCGTTCGTTGAGATTCTTTCTGATTTACCTACTGCCTTTTAAAAAAATAAAATAAAATAAAAGTAACAATGTGCACTCCAAGGCAAAATAATATGCACTTCAAATGTACAAGAATATATACTCTAAGGCAAAACAATGTGCTTTGGAAGGCACAACAATATGCTTTGGAAGGCTCAACAATATACTTTGAAAGGTCAATAATTTTCGCAAATAACTCGAACTTTGGTGCACTTAAATGTGTTATAAGTGCAAGTAGTTGGTGCACCATTGCAAGTAAAAAGTGCAGGTAAAATCACTTACAAATGCATTTACTTTCACCTACAAGTGCATGTAATTTTGCCTTGTTAACATTCATGCACCTAGGTGCAACTACTTATAACTATAGGTGCACCTAGTTATAACGTCATGTGCACTTAGTTTTGATGCTCGGTATAAATTTTACTTGCAACTGTAATATATTTTACCTGCACTTGTAATATATTTAACATGCACTGAGGTGCATTATATGAAACGGTTACTTGCACTTGTAATACATTTTACTTGCACTTTGATGTTTAAGATGGGTTCTCAGATCTTTCCTTGGCGGCCGTTCGCATGAGAGCGCATCCTTATATATGGAGGGTTCAAGTGATAACAGACTTCTAGATAAAAAGTGAGAACTAATATGATCTATCAATTTGGGTAAATCGACAATTTAAGGTTGTTGGAAAAAAAAAAAAAAGACAATGTTCGTTTTATAAATATAGTTAACTTAAAAGTTTTTAATAATTATAAAGTTGATCCGTATTTTTTTACTAAAACTTTCAACCATAGATGAGCGGCTGAGATTAATACTCATTGTTTACAAGAGAATCATATTCTTATTTCAACCCTGATTGATATTTACCATTTATTAAATTCTTTATGAATTAATTTGATCAAATACTTCTAATTCAATAAACTAATTTATCAATTTTTAACAATCAACTTTGAGCTGATTTTGAACATCAATTTGTTTTAATCCACAAATTAATACCTTAATATTGGAGAAGCATGCGGTATGGTGTTACCGAACAACGGTTTTTCCGGTGGTCCAGTGACAGAATCCCAACAAGTCTCTCTACAAAATGCTCTTCAATTCCGCCATTACCATTCATCACCCATCAACTTAATTAATTGCTTCATCTTCTAAATCATATTTTAATATATAATAATAATTTGAATTTTTTGATACTCTTTCTGTAGGCAGCTGCGGCTTTCCTTGGAGGTTCCATTCCTGAGGAGGCTGCTGCAGATTATAAGAGTTTCAAAAAACCAAACAAATATGGCATTGATTTCTAAGAAGATGGGGTTGTTTTTTATTGCAACATTGGCTGTTGTTATAGCCGCCGTTACCGGTGTCGCTCATGCTAATGATTTGCCTCCTGCCCACGCTCCCGCCACCAACGGTCAGCTCACCACAATTATATATGTTTTAATGTCTTATTTACCTCCATCTTAAAGATTATATATATATATATATATATATATATATATATATATATATATGCTAATGTTCCAGATGAGACGGTAAGACAGATCATGAATGCACACTATCTACTACAAGAATACACACATTAAATTGTGCACATTCATGTTGGACGAATTGCACACACTCTAGTATCTATCTATCTTATAATAGACTGCGTGCATTCATGTTGTGTTTCACCATCTCATAAGAAAGATGCTGTCATATTTGATTATACAAATCTAATATATATATATATATATATATATATATATTAGATTTGAAAAAAGTATTATTAAATAAGAATGGATTATTGGATAATGAACAGGGGCAACAATTGATCAAGGGGTTGCATGCGCGCTGATGCTGTTGGCATTGGTACTCACATATATCATCCATACAGCCGATGTCCCTCTCTATTAATTCTTTTTTTCCTTTTCTTTTTGATACATAATTTATTAATAATGTTTCTTTATCCCTAGCTAGGGCTAGAAAGTACCATGAAATGAGATGGATACCTTTTTGTTGGCTGTGCCTTTTACATTAAATTCTGCGCTCTGAAAATAATAATATAATGGTGTTTAATGTCATGTTAATTTGTTACACTATTATATTTATTTACGACTTTTTCTTTTCTTGTAATTTGACAAATTAAAGAAAGATAAACTAAAAACATATATTCTTTGAATTTTAATCACATGCAAATTACAATCAAAACCCTTTTTGATGTATTCAACAGCGTTGATCTGAGTGAGTAATACACGTACAATCAATAGATATATGGTGATTGAACATAACACATACACAAGCTTGAAGGAAGCAAGATTTTCTGTGACAGAATTATGTAAGATTTTTTATGTTTCTCATTATAAGGAATTAATTTCATATATATTCCGGAATTAATTCATACATTTCAAAAATTATATCACCATATCTTGATATCAAATTGAAGCATGAATTGCATATTTATGTTTATATATATATATATATATATATATATATTTTATGTGCTCAACAATTATATCATCGCATCTTCATTGTATCCCTTATTAGATTAAGGATTTAAGGAATTCAGATAGGACTAAGAAGCTAGGGTTATTTTGTCCTCATATGTGTAACTTTTCTTCTCATATATATCCCATTAAATTGTAAATTATTGGGAGTCTCAAATTTGTAATTTCGTGAAAAAGTAATTCTTTCTTAACAAATTTAAAAAATTTTCTTTTTAAATTAATTTGGAAATAAATGAATTTTAGTAAGTTTTTTATTCCGATTATAATTCTAATGCTATGCTTAAACAAGTGTCCAAAATATTTTGGTTTCCATCTTTGGCTACCGAATTTGGTTGAGATTTTAATTACTTTGTTAGTATTAGTATAAATAAGTCATTTTCTCTTCTTTTAATACTACTTTTATACTTTTCCTAATACACGTTTTCCTTCCTTTAATATTATACTAATAAGGATTTAAGGAATTAAAGAATCAATGAATTCATGCTAATTAAGATAATAATGTAGTCCAAGCTCCAGGTTAGTATTAGTAATTGATAAGTCATTTTCTCTCATTTTATAACAATGTTTTTACACTTTTAATAAAATATTAAAAGTGTTTATAATTTAATTTTAAATTTTATTATTTAAATAAATAAAAAAATTATCGCACGAATAATTTACTAGTAATAATAGTAATAATATAATCTTTAGAGGTATTGATAGAAAGAAAAATATGGAATCCGTATATGATGAACTTTATTTCGGCCCATGCAAATGTGTGACACAAATTATGGAATATGAGAAAAAAAAAAAAATCCCATAAAGGGATGCAGGGGGAACGTGAACATAATAACTGTAAGCCCTCCACTTTTTCATGACAAAATATCGTGCCTCTTTATTATTATTACAAAAATAATAAATACACATATTGGGAGAGTAAATATGGCCCGAGTTAGATATGGGTATGGGCCCAAATATGATTAATCAGCCCCAAAGATCTTTACATTCCACACCGTCATTGTCATGTCGGTAGGTGAGAGCGACATCGTGGGGCCATACAAACACCATTCCCACCAACCAATTGCTTGGCGTGAGTAGTTGTGGATTCTTGTCCCTTAAGAGAGGTTTGAAGTTTGAACTCTTTTTGTATTTTGCCTCTTAAATGAGTCGAGCTGGTGTGAACGAGATTAGTCTGAGTATGGTACGGACTTAAAGATGTCTCCTACAGTTAGGGTTGTTATACTGTGGACGATGGTATGAAAACGGCACCGTTTCTTTGAGTAGAGAAACGACCGCCGTTACATTTTAACAGAGCATGTATTTTTTGTGTGTTAATAACAAAATGAAATTACAGTGTATTTAAAATGAAACTGTCTTGCATATTGTGTTTATATTATCAAATGAAGCTGTAATTGAATTGAAATGATACTTTAGTTGTGTTGAAATGAAACTGCAGTATGTATAAAATGAAACTGAATAATATGTCTTATATCTTGAGTGTATATTTTCAAATAGAAATGATATTGTAGTTGTATTGTAATAGTTTCACATATTTGAGTGTATATTGTTCAATGAAACTATAATTATATTGAAATGATACTGTAGTTGTGTTATAATGAAGCTACGGTGTATATAAAATGAAACTGAAGAATAATTTTATATATTTGAGTGTATATTATCCAATGAAACTGTCGTTATATCGAAATGATATTGTAGTTGTGTTGTAGTGAAACTGCAGTGTATATAAAATGAAACTGCATTCCCACTCAAATGCACATCAACCCTCAACCCTACCAATTAATGTTAATAGTAAGTGTCAAATAAGTCATCGAATTATACGAGTTGTTATACCATGGACCAGGGTCCACCTTGCAAATTGTGTATATTTAGTATTGGATTCATGAACTTTTAGAATATAAATTGTGTTTCTAAGTCAAAACACATAACAACTGTAAAAGAGAATTTGTGAATACAATACAAAATAATCTTTTAATACTAAACAAGGTAATCAATTACATATATGTTAACGTTGTGTCTTCGTAATATACAAATTGTGAATTTCTAAAAGGTAAATTGTGAACATTTGGACCTTGATCAACATAATAATTTGTGAAATTATACGCGATAGTATAATTAGATCGCTCAATTAAAAAATTATAATTGGTCTGGCAAACAAATTAAAACCGTGCAATTAAACTAAAAAATTAGTAAACATAAGGCTATCATTATTCCTGCAAATCTCTTCTACTTTCTAAAATGGGTCTCACTTTCATATTATATTAAAAATATAATAATAAAACAATATTAAAAGAAATAATTAAAATAAAAAAAAATAACAAAAGTACTGCTAGCTGCCGCATCACAGCTTAACAAGTTTGCTAAGTTTGCCAATTTGCAATCCACGTATGCTTAAAACCAAAAAAAAAAAAAAAAAAAAAAAAAAAAAAATCTATTTCTTGCCACATCATTTAGTAAGTAGTAAAATTTCTGGGATGAGGTTAGTATAAGATAATATGTTGACTTTTCCATTTAAGTATGATTTGGCATTCGATGTGTCATTTTTAAAATTTATTTGTTAAAAAATTTAGAAATCATAACTTCTTTTTTTTTTTTTTCTTGTCCTGCCCTTGCACTAGCTGCTGCAAGCATCCACATCTACATTTCTTTTGGGCTCCGCATCATCTCTCAGAAACAATCATGCCTCTGCCGGGAGCTGCATGCCTTCAACTCTTTCAAAAAATAAAATGGATACTAACATAGTTAGTTTATCAGTCAATTTTAGTTTATTTGATCACTATTAGTTGTTTGATTTGGTTAAACAACCAATATAAGTGTTTGATTAATTAACTTTTTGTAACAATTTATTACTCCAAAACACTAGAATTCAAAAAATAGTTTAAAGTAGCAAACTTTTTGAGAAAGTCATTTGAATGTAATTAGCTATAAACTAAAAGTTCATTCACCAAACATTTTTCTACAATTAGCTAATATTATCAACTAGTCAAACTCACTAACTCAATCAGGTAACCCATAATAGAATATGTTTTCAAAAACATAAATACTTTTATACAAAATATAATAATAATAATAATAACAATAATAATAATAATAATATAAAAACATAATAAGCTTCAATCCAGGTTATGTCCTTGATTTTATGTCCGTTTTTTCTGTTAACTTTTTTTTTTGTACCTTATGCTATAATTGTTGTACTACATAATTTTTTGGACAAAAATATCCCTGCCGTTATAACTTCTGTTATCTTTCACATTATTATTACCATGCATATGCATACATAATATCCTTTTTCTACATTCTTCAATTGGTAAATTTGATTTTATTTAGATTTAATTAAATGTTACCATAGTTATATTTAGTAATATATTATTTCTATAATTCTTACTTCATTAATATTAATATGAATTCTACAATTATATATATATATATATATATATATATATATATATATATATATATATATAACTAAGATTTTAATATTAAATATTAATATTGGGCATATATTTTTGCACATCGCGCATATGAAAGGCAAGTAATAATAATAAATGTCAAAGAAGTTGAAATACTTGCAACATGTCACTTCTCATTTTTTTTCCTTTTTTTTGTAAAATATTCGATACAAAAATTTAGTTCAAATAATGTATATATATATATATATATATATATATATATATATATATATATATATATATAGAATTGTATATTCTAATCCCAAATTGCATGCACAGTAAATTATCCACAGCTGACAGCCCAAGTTGGTTGTGGGCCAAAAAGGACGGACCAGCTGACGCAGCTGATACTGTAAGTTGCAGTGACTGAAAGGCCGTTAACGGCGAGTGACGTGTACGGTCCTGATTGGGCGCTGTATGTTGGAGTACAAAGAAGATCTCCCGTCTTCTAAATTTCTGATTTGATTTGCGATCTTCGAAATCTTTGCGTCATTTTTTCCTGTGTACTAACTTTTTTGACGTAATATATCATTAATTTCCTTCTTAATTTTAGGATTAAAAATCTGTTTAATTCAGAGGGCTTTGAGGTACGAATGACGATGAATCATATTATAGTTTTCATCGAATGAATTTTGAATTCGATAAAAGTAGCTATTGTTGAAGTCATCTCGAATTTAAATAATTCAAACAAAAAGTCAAGTTAAATTTGAACATTTTAATATTTGACTAGAATAGTTTATGAGATTAATTAAATTTGTAATTTTAGATCAATGTTTTCATAAACAATGAGTAGACTTGTGTGTTTCAACAAGAATACAGAACAAACTAATTCAGTTTCACATAAGATAGCTAAGTACGATAGAGCAATCCACATGATTCTTAGTCCAGGTCCTCATGGTGAATTTCTCATATTGATACCAATGTTCCCCCAAAAGCATTAAAGAAACATGAGAACCAATTTGATTGAGCATCTAGTGCAATAGTGTGGATAAGATGTTTGAAGGCAAATGAACTTGATCTGCTCCTTAAGCTGAAAGAGCTCACAACAACCAAATCACTTTGAGGGATTTATCATTGGACTA